GTGCGCAAGACCTCTAGGCCAGCGCTCTTCCAGCGATTCAATCGAATAAGGTCTAACGTGCGCAAGACCTCAAGGAAAGCGTTAAACGAGCGATTTTCTCGAATAACGTCTTTCGTGCGCAAGACTTCCATACAAGTGTTTTCCGAACGATTCTATCGTATGACGTCTAACGTGCACAAGACCTCTAGGCAAACTTTAAAGGAGCGATTCTATCGAATTACGTCTAACGTGCGCAAGATCTCTAGGCAAGGGTTAAACGAGCGATTTTCTCGAATAACGTCTTTCGTGCGCAAGACCTCCAGGCAAGCGCTCTTCGAGCGATTCTATCGAATAACGTCTAATGTGCGCAAGAATCCAGGCAAGTGTTTTCCGAACGGTTGTCTCGTACAATGCCGAACGTGCACAAGACCTCTAGGCAAGCGTTAAACGAGCGNTGCGCAAGACCTCCAGGCAAGTGTTTTCCGAACGGTTGTCTCGTACAATGCCGAACGTGCACAAGGCTTCAAGGCAAGCGCTCTTCGAGCGATTCTATCGAATAACGTCTAATGTGCGCAAGAATCCAGGCAAGTGTTTTCCGAACGGTTGTCTCTTACAATGCCGAACGTGCGCAAGACCTCTAGGCAAGGGCTGTTCGAGCGATTCTATCGAATGACGTCTAACGTGCGCAAGACCTCCAGGCAAGTGTTTTCCGAACGGTTGTCTCGTACAATGCCGAACGTGCACAAGACCTCTAGGCAAGCGTTAAACGAGCGATTCTATCGAATAACGTCTAACGTGCGCAAGACTTCTAGGCAAGGGTTAAACGAGCGATTTTCTCGAATAACGTCTAACGTGCGCAAGAGCTCTAGGCGAGGGTTAAACGAGCGATGCTCTCGAAGAACGTCTTTCGTGCGCAAGACCTCCAGGCAAGTGGTTTCCGAACGGTTGTCTCGTACAATGCCGAACGTTCACAAGACCTCTAGGAAAACTTTAAACGAGGTATTCTATCGAATAACGTCTGACGTGGGCGAGACCTCTAGGCAAACTTTAAACGAGCGATTCTACGAATAACGTCTGAGGTGCGCGAGACCTCAAGGCAAACTTTAAACGAGCGATTCTCTCGAATAACCTCTGACATGCCCAGGACCTCTAAGCAAGCGTTATCTGTGCGTTTCTCTCGAACAACGTCTAACGTGTGCAAGACCTCTGGGTAAGCGTTTTCCAAATGGTCTATCTCCATATTATTCCTTTGTTAACTGTTCTTCATCGAACAAACATGTGTTTAATTTGAACTGCCTAGTCATCTCCAAATAGCAAAATGGTCTGTGAAGACTTTCATACAGCTGGCCATCTGCCGTTTTTTTCTATTAAGGCTTTCGAGGCTGCGGTACTGCCCATTGGATCGGCCTCATACGATGGCGCCGTCTTATAAAATGTTCCACTACCTACTCCTTAAACCATCTCTCCAAACCACCTGCACACTGTATCTTCAACTACCCTAACTAAGCTTCGCCTTTCCTACCAATATGAACTACTCCGTAAACTCTCAGCTTTCAGTTCGTTAGTTCGTTCAACCAGTGCTTCTGTAATACCCGATTTTCGTTTTATATCGCTGTCATTATACTGTTATTGTTGTAATTACTATCATGAACCACTACAACCCAGTGTCTCAAGCCGTTCGGCTCAGTAACTAATACGCTGAAGGCCCTCATGGCGAATAAAAAAGACGAGCACTCAGTCACACTAATATCCACAATTACGTGGTATTGTTATAACTGTGTATGTCACCATAATTGTCAAGCCAACTCCCACAATCCTCGTAGAAAGCCCTAGAACAACTCAGGATACTCGAGAAAATCTACTCGACCAGCGCTCAACGACGTTCATGACGAAGACGAAAATCGTTACTTAGAAGTCGAAGCCATGCAGAAAAAGTTCGAAGACGTAGACGATGCATACCACGAAGCGCATCGAATTTGCGACTTGCTGGAATACACACAGTATAATGTGCGATCTCTCGTTATAAGCAAATATATATGAATATATGTATATATATGTGTATATATGTATATGTATATGTATATATGTATATGTATATATAAACTGCACTATGTATGTATACGTTCATGTATATATATATATATGTGTATATGTATATGTATATGTTTGTGCATATGGACATATATACACATACAAATATATATATTTATATATGCATTTATTTCGTCTCTCCTTCATTTATTTACTTCATCCGACACGAAATTACATGGTGTCAGCATTACAGCACTTCTTGCATTCGATTCGTTTCATCTCATTATTATTCGATGGATGTGTTCTGGTTTTCGTGTAGGCTCGCCCGCTGCTTTAGCATCGATGGTCTACCGAATGTTATAGAATCCTGCTCAAGTGGACTTTTAAAGGGACCTTGAGACTGCATTGCCTGAACCTTCTCATATCTTCATCACAGAGAATCTATAAAAGTGAGAAAATCAAAATTTTGTACTCTTCAACTTAAAACAGAAAAATCTTGACCACCGCTACGCACTTTTTCGAACTGTACTACGGTAGGCAGAAAATCGTTCGTACAACAGATTACTTCAGACGCGAAAATGCGGAATTCTTGCAGCGGTACACGTGAGTTCCATGAACTGGAATACTTTTTCTATATTCAGGCTTCCGTGTAAGTCTCTGAAACGTTTCTTTTGGATTCAGCTATGCCACTTGTAGTTGTGGATTTATTGACTCCGTTTCAACGATTCAGTATTCTTTACTGCTTCAGTCCAGTTTTTCAGTGCGGTTACAGTAATACCAAAACACTAGTGCAAGAAACTTTTTGGAGAAGTTGTAAATAGCGTTTCGTTTTCACTTCATAATTGTGTTCTATACATTCCTTTAACTTGCTTCATCCTTAGTTTATCGTTCCGCTTTTTCAATCGGTGACATTTTCGATGAGGTTTGTTTCTGCGCTCTCAGTATTGAACTCAATCGCGACCTCTTGTTTAATCTGAAAATATGGTTCTAGAGTATGGTGTTGGCTGATCTTGGTCGGAAGATCCGGAATGCCATCGGAAAACTTGGCCAGGCTACTATTATTAATGAGGAGGAATTGGATTTAATGCTTAAAGAGGTACAAGGTCTTAATACTATACTTGAACCTCGTCTGTTATATTTCTGAGTTAAATACATTTCCTGAGATATTTGCAAAACTCCGGACCGCAGGTATTCGCGGTGGAGAACGAATGCGCTACTATCCTTTTCGGGGGATAACGCGTTCAGCACAATACCATGCGGGTCCTTAGTTTCGCCGTTCTCTCAGCTAGTTTTCTATCTACCAGTGCCATAATCACCCGTTAGCAGGATTGATCTGAGGAGCAAACATCGGTCTAGTTAAGCTGATTTATGATTTCACAAAATATTCTACTGTGGAAAATTGTAGTGGGCAGTAAATGAGGAAGTCAAAGTTGTAAATGTGTTTTATTTTCAATGTTTTCAAGGTATGCACGGCATTGATCGAGTCAGATGTTCATATTCGTTTGGTTAAGCAACTAAAAGACAATGTGAAGTGAGTGCATAGTATTTTCCTTGTTTTTGGTGTTAAAGAATTTCGCTCCTCCCAGCGGCTTACCGCCTCATCGTGGCTGGCGGCTGTTCCTGTGTGTCGGGCTGCGATGAACAGGGCAGAGATTCATCCCCACAACAGGTCTTCCAAGCTGGGATGGAGTCCGGCCTTTCCATCAGGAAGCCTAGCTAAGAGTAATCCAATACCTGGATCAACCACCGTCCTGGTATCAAGTTATCGCATGGTGACAAATCTCCCTCCATTCCACAAGAGCAACGATTGCCTGTGGTGGTGACGACCTGGGGAAGACTTTGGCTAGACTTACCTCAGAACTCCAAGGAACCACAAATGCTAAGCCAGTAAAACTCTGTCAAGCGGAAATTGTGCTGGAGCCTAAAAAACCGGAAAAGATTGGCATCCAATTATCCTAGGAAGTAAGTGGTGAATTTCGTTATTTTTTACTCCCTTCTATCCTAAAATAAAAAACGGGATCTGTCTTGATTTTCATATATGATGGTGATGGTTCCTTGTTTTAGGAAGGCAATAAATTTCGAGGAAATGGTTGGCGGTGTTAACAAACGGCGTTTAATTCAAAAGACAGTTTTCAACGAGTTACTTAAACTAGTCGATCCTGGTGTGACACCATATCAACCGAAAAAGGGACAACACAATATCGTAATGTTCGTTGGTCTACAAGGATCTGGGAAAACTACCACTTGTACAAAGGCAGTGTTTTTTTTTTCAAAACCTGTTTTCCTTTAACCTAGGTTTGACTAATCAATGTGTATTCTTTTTTGAGAAGCTTTCACAGGGTTGATAAATAATGTTTACTTCCGGTTAACATTTCGATGTCTTCGTATTCATCAGAGCCGTTGATTCCAGTCGATGATCCGCAGATGATACGAAGACGAAGACGCAATATCGAGAAGACGAACATCTGTGGACCATCGACTGGGATCATCGGCTCTGAGGAAGACGAAGACGTCAAAACGTTAGCCGAAAATAAAGATTGCATATCAACCCCGTGGTAAGCTTATCAAAGAAAGAATACATATTGCACTTTTGTATTTTCATCAGAACTGTAAGAGTTTTCTACTCGAGAAGTTGCATTTTTAATCGAATTCTTGTCATTCATTCAATTCATTGAATTCATTGTCATTCATTCTTCAGTTCTTGTGAACTGATTTATCGAATTTCATATGCGAATGAGATTACAGAGTTGTTTTAGATGGCATATTACTATCAACGGAAAGGATGGAAAACCTGTCTTATTTGCGCCGACACATTTCGAGCTGGAGCTTTTGACCAGCTGAAGCAAAATGCTACAAAAGCCAGAATTCCCTTCTACGGTGAGCTTCAATTCATGTTGATCTATGCATACTTGGAAAAAGACGTGTGTGGCACAATGGTCGGAGGCGCTCTCTAATGCATATCCCCGCGCCCAAAATTCACTAAGTCTTGTATCCCTTCGGGTTCGGCAAATTGGTACGTCTTGTCTGCGAGGATAGCAGCACTGGCTGGAAACATCGGCAGGCATCCGCAAGTGATTACAAAGACCAAATTTGCATTTATTCATCTCCAACGATGCTTAATGAAGTCCAATGCATAGCGCTCACGCATTGATAACGCCGAGAGCTTTAGCATTTATCCTTAATACTTGGAAACGGTTGTATGCATGGCTTGTTACTCTTTCTGAATGTAGCGACCTTTCATTATTCTGGAGCCATTTCGATATACGTTTATAGGTTCCTATTCGGAAGTAGATCCTGTCGTCATCGCAGCAGAAGGTGTGGAGAAATTCAAAAAGGAAAACTTCGAAATAATCATTGTTGATACATCCGGTAGGCACAAACAGGAAGCCTCGTTGTTTGAAGAAATGCTACAAGTCTCGAACACCGTGGTATGCTTTTTTGGGGGTTGTCGTTTTTGTTAGAACAGCATCTTTTTGTCTCACACACTGCTTCGTTTCCTGTTTTTCATAGAATCCCGACAATGTAGTATTCGTAATGGACGCTTCAATTGGCCAAGCTTGTGAAGCACAGGCGCGAGCTTTCTCAGAAACAGTGGATGTGGCATCTGTGATCATCACCAAACTTGATTCTCATGCGAAAGGTGGTGGAGCACTTTCTGCGTGAGTCTTCTCGATGAGTGTTTGTGTACTTTGAAAAAAACTTGCAGTAACTTTTTGGTAAAACTTATTTTAGTGTCGCCGTTACCAAATCTCCAGTAATCTTTATCGGTACTGGAGAACATATTGATGATTTTGAACCCTTCAAACCAAAGGCTTTTGTGCAGAAATTGCTTGGTATGGGGGATATCGCTGGTCTTGTTGACATGGTTAATGATATTGGCATAAAGGATAACGAAGAACTTGTGAGCCGTCTGAAGCATGGTAATCAGCTGGAAATCTCTAAGATTTTCATTCTTGCCCTAAAGTCTGCGTTCTCGAGCAACTTTATCCAAGTAGCACATTCAGGTCTTTTTACTCTCCGTGACATGTATGAACAGTTCCAAAATATAATGAAAATGGGCCCCTTTAGTCAGATAATGGTACGTCTTGTCGCTCACCTTCTTTGCCTTCCATCTTTTAGTGTGATTTTTAATACTTGAACGAATTTTTCTACGTTTATGCAGAGTATGATTCCTGGATTCGGTCCTGAATTTATGACGAAGGGAAATGAAAAGGAATCTGTTGGGAGGCTGAAAAAGCTGATGACCATCATGGATTCAATGAGTGATACCGGTCTGTTTTTATTCTGCTTGGGTATTTCTTATTTCTAACTTCAAGAAAGTGAAGTCTTTTCCCTTTCTAGAACTAGATCATCTTAAGGCGTCGGAGCTTTTCACGAAGGAGCCTGGTCGTGTTGTGCGGGTAGCGAGAGGCTCCGGTACTACTCAGGCTGATGTGGGTAGTGGGAAGTTGTTGTTATCGTTATGTTCTATGAAACTGTATTTTAGGTCAGGGAACTACTTGTTCAGTATAAGAAGTTTGCCGACATGGTCAAAAAGATGGGGTCTATTAAAGGGTTGTTCTCCGTAAGTTTAACACTTTCTTAAATTTTCAGCTTGTGCCTAATTTTTCTGTATGGGCAACTATTTTTAGGGGAAGAATGGGGATATCAATCCAAAGAATGTCAATCCTGCACAGATGATGAAACTAAACCAGCAGATGGCGAAGATGATGGATCCGCGAGTGTTACAACAAATAGGTGGCATGGGTGGCCTACAGAACATGATGGCCCAACTGCAGAAAGCTGGTAAAGGTGGTGGTCTGTTCTAGTATAGCCAGTACTTACACATATCCGTTAGGTTTGAGTTTTATCCTGACAACCTTATTTGTTTCTGAAACAAGGGTTTTTTGTTTGTAAATGTTCTGGCGTTAGTGCTGTGATATTGTGTTTTTCCTTTAGAATTTGATTTACTTGGAAAGAGTTCTGTCTACTTGAACTTCTTGAATCGTCAGTTTGTGAAGCATGTTTCCATTCAATCGTATCTAGTCTTTATTGCGCTGTGGAACTATAAATCACTGCTTGTGTAGAATTTATGGTTTCTTTGGTTTCCTTAAATTACTGATGTACATATGACAAAGCTCTGATTATTAGTATTACTCGGAAGAAACAATTGTAATCTACTATGTATTTGATATAAAAATGCATCTCCGTCATGGTTTTCTTGACGAATTCATACACATTTTGACCAATGGTAAAGTATCTATTCAATATTTAGATTTTGCGCCCTAGTAAGATTTGTAATTGCTCCAGCAGGTTGCATATTGAAATGGTTTTTCGAAGTCTGCAAGGAAATCTTACAAAAATGTATTGGGTAACAGAGCTGTTCAATTATGTTTAGATGCGGCAAACTAGAACAATAAAGAGCTATTCTGACCCAGCAAATGATTCAGTGGAGTTAGAGGCTTGTCTGAAAGGTCCACCGTTATCAGATTCAAGCTACCAAAGGAAGTTTGTAATAGCTAAAGGTAAAGTGAAGTATTTGAAAGATATTAGGAAGTGTTATTTTCGATCGTGTTCAGAGAATGAACTTGCGAATAGTTCCTTATACCGGGTCTGCCATCCGAAGAATGGGTCACCTTGTTTGTATCGTATCGGTGAGAAACATTGTGATGAGGCAAGTTTTTTGTCATTTTGTCAAGTTCAGTTTTCATATTTCGAAAGCACTTATCGCATAGCTTACGTTTTATCTAATTGCGGGAAGCACTGGGTACTTGGATGACTCGTGTTCGCTGGTTGTGCCGGCCTCAGCATAATTTCCACTTTTTTGGAGTCTTGCTGCTTTAGCCATTGTGGTTTTCTGGTATCTAGGGATCAGCCTAGCCAGCGCCCCAGGTCGTCGCCACCATAGGCAGTCTTTGTGGATCAGAGGGTGATTTACCACTATGCGAGTACCAGCACAGTGGTGGATCGTGGCAATGCTTTACTCTTATCTGAGCTTCCTGGTGGAAAAGCTGAACTCTTTCTCAGTTTAGGAGACCTTGCTAGGGGGACGAATTCCATTCTCCCACCCTACATCGCTGTCTGACACCCAGAAGCACTTCCCAGACACGATGAGGCGTAACCATTGGGAGGTCGGAGAGCATAAATATATGTATATATATATATATATATTGTTATTTTTAACGTCGGTATGCTAATCTCTCTATTTAATTTTAACAAAGTTTTCTCACTGCACTGTTCTCACTTCTATCTTTTCGCTAAGAAGCCTTCAGGTGCTGAGTGTGGGTGAAACATTTCGATCGTGGTTTTACGGCGATAGCGTGATATCAGATGGCGCAATTCGTCTCATGTCACCAGTGCACCCGCTATTTCTAGCAATACCATATTTCATAAAATCAAAGGTAACCTGATTGTCGGAATGTCACCTGTTTTCGCTCCATCCAAATATTCACGTGTGTTATTACAAGCCAATCTTTCACTCAGGCAGCATTTATTGAATTGGAGGAAGTTTTATGTGATACGGAATGTCCTTCAATAGCTGTGCTGTTGAAGAACGAGCAGTTTTTAAGGAATGTTGATAGAGTTTGTGACTTTAAAGGTGAGGACGATGAGAACATATTTAACAGCCTTAGTTATTTTTCTATTTCCGACTTTATTTTTCTTTTTGTAAATTTTATTGAATGAACTTCCGTCTGTTTCCAGAAGTATTAGGAACAAAAGTGTATCGCTTCAGCGAAACCAAAGCGCTAGAGTGGATTTCCAGTCGTTTTTATCGCCTACGGGATGCGCTAAGATCACAGAAAGGCTTACATAAATCGATTATAAATGATGGTTAGTTTATTCTTCATTCTCACTAGCGGCCAATATGAACTGAATGATGTTATCTATTTTCTTTCGTACGATTTATTCTTAACATATTTGTGAAGAAGTTGGTTTTACGATAAGTAGATGCTAACTTTTCGATTACTAGAGTAGTGGACGGGTTGAGAACTTGACATAAATGTAGAATACCATTTAGGTAAAGATTTGTAGATATTGCTGTGCTTAAACGTTTTCGTCTTGGAAATTTGGACCTTGATCCAATCCAAAAGAGCAACGAAGATGGTGAATCGGTGAATCGCAGAAAGTTAGGACATCGTTATTGCTTAATGATGAGTTGCGAAGCGCATCTCAAGACCGATTTGCTTTTAACTTCGGCATTGAGAAATAAAACACTGTTTTCTTTATGAGCGAACACGAGTTTTTTAACACCAAGATTTATTTACTACAATACTGGACGTTTCGGTGATTTCACTTTCTTCAGAGCCTGTTATGGCACCCAGTCCACTCAGTCAAACGCTGTTATAACCTCAGCAGAGAGAACTTAATATAAATGTTTATTGGCAAACTGGACAACTTCTCTTGAGCACTCACCGTTTCTTTGTCTATAAGTCCTCCAGTTATTGTTGGGGATCAGCCGCACAGAGTTTTATATGGGTGAGAAACGTGCCTTGCTCTTATCAGAAAATCGGGGGGAGATGATACGTGAGCACAAGACATTCCTTGCGGTTCATTTCTCTTTCTTTATTTTTTTTTTGCCATTAACGACCTCGTGTTTACTCATCAAGAAAACCATGAATGAAGAATCGTGTACTTGTACGCAAAGATTTGTAGATTAAACACTTTTTGTTGCAATTAGTATTATTCATAATGGGCTAACACATGGGGATTCAATGTTGAAAACGACCAATGTTTTCGAGTCACGTATTGAAACCGATGCCCATCGTCAGGAATCTCTTAAAAGATGGTCTCTTGGAACGTAAATCATTCCTAAACACAACTGCATGTTGGGCCTTTTGGTTCGTTGTAGTCATTCCATATCAACTTTTCTCGCATCAATCTCAGGGTTATACGTTCAAAGTGTTTTTATCTAGTTCTTCTTCCTCTGCTTCTAAGTCGTTTCTTTTTCATTGGCTCAATTCATGTTTTCCAATTCTTTTTTTTTTCATTCTAAAGTTGTTTTCTTCTCCTAACGAGTCAAAGTCAAGTCACGATGTGTGGACTACATACGGGTGGTCTTACTCCCTACGAAAAGAAAGCGACTTCGTCTTCCGATAAGACGAATTCGTCGGATCGTTAGCCATGGAACATTAAAATACGTGTTAAAGATCACAAAAAAGTTTTCGTAAGGTAATAAATATTTTAAGTTTCTGCCTTTTAGATGACGTGCTTAGTCGTTACGCTTTTGGGGTACTATGTGACTACATGAACCCTGAATTGGCTACAGTGGCCAAGACACATCTGTCTATAAAAGATCTTCCTGGTGATGATACTGCACACGTCGACATGTCGATGAAAAGGAAATCTGATGTTGTTTATGAGGATACTGAACAGAAACAGTTTAAGGTATGATATTCCAGCCGGTATTCACGTTTCGATTATTACACGCGCGGCTTTTTCTTACGCAGTTGATTCCAGTGCAGACCAATTTGGATTTTTCGAGGTAATTGATAACTTTCTGTTTGCAGAAATCCAAGGAGTCAGTCACAATGAAAAAACTTCACAAAGCCAGTAAAGGAACTAAATCTATAAGCAATTTCTTCACTAGAAAATTATAAATAGTCTTTCGTTGTTGTCCTTAATGTCCATTTTTTCAATCCTGAATTTCAATTTTGCAAGGTAAATCACCGTTGCTTCGCGATCTTTGTATTATTCGTTGTATCGTTTAAAGTCTGTCGAGACTGTGTATCTCTTATTATGAGAACTACAAGTTTCTAAACGGGGTCTTATTCTGCTTTCACTCTTTGCATTTGCAACTTCAATAAATTTTTTATGCCCGACTGTGTGCTTTTTCCGGTGACTTACTGGAACATGCCATCCATACTAATTCCAACGTTGTTTTTTTTTCCCTCTTCCGGCCACACTGTTGATGCCTTAGGCTACATCCGTATCGACCATTTAGCAATGTCTCGATTGGCACCGTCTCGGATTATCCATGCAGGGAGAGGCATAGGGAATTTGACACCGTATGGAAAGCGCATGGATCGCCTGAGCAGAAGGATTTTTGGGGAAGTTGTTAGAGCTACTGACAACAAAAGTATGAAGGTATTGTATTTGTTCGTTTTCGATGCTTCATTACTTATTGGTAATGGTCCACTATGATTGTATAAGCAAGTTTCTGTTGTTTCCAGGTTATTCGGATTATGGCTGCTGAACCTTATGAGACGAAAGAACAGCTGTCAGTAAAATATTATCCTAATCTTCCAATGTTCCACTATCTAACCAAAATGCTTCGGTTTCATGGTCTATTCTTTGATGATCATGTTGTTTTTCGACAAGTGAGTTTACTCCTAATTGGGGCGGTTAGCGGGTCTTCCCAATGGGTTTATCGCCTCATCGTGGCTAGGAGATGTTCCTGGGTGTCGGGTTGCTATATACGGCGAGGGGATTCGTCTTACCAGCAGGGTCTCCCAAACAACGAATCCGGCGTTTCCAGTAAGAAGCTCAGCTAAGAGGAAACCAATACCATAATCCACCACCGTCTTGTATCAAATTAGTCGCTTGGTGGCGATTCTCCCTCTGGTCCACAAGGGCAGCGGCCACCTGTGGTGGTGACTCCCTGGGTCAGACTTTGGCTTGGCTGACCTCAGGACTCCAAGGAACCGCACAACCGTTGAAGACCGCCATCCAAGTAAGTAAGTGTGGCGGGTGATTGCAGACACTTGAGAAGTTATAGGGTTTTATAAATAGTATATTGATACCCATAGAATGGATGTTTTAACGTTGGGATGTTCGGTTCAAGTGTTTATAGGTTTAAATTTGTTTTTAGGTGCAAGATGAGTTAAAGATAATTCGAGGAAAGGTCGTGAGGCCACCAATAGGAGAAGGAAAGCGTGCCTTGCTTCGAGGATCTAAAAAATAGATGTCTTTCTAAATTCTCATAATAATTGTACAATATTATGCAGGTGTGTGCTTGTCCTTCTGAAGCATAAACCTTTTTGACAAATGACTTTTCTTGAGGTTTTTTACTTCCTTTTCTTTGGAAAATTATACTTGATCTTTGGTTGATTTCGAAAAACATCATTTTTCCTTCTAGAATTGAATAATAGCGTTTAAGCAGTAAGTTGACATCAATAGTACCAATAAGGGTTTCAAGGAAGTATTGTGTGTGTTTGTTAGCAATGAAGAGAACAGTTGAAGGAAACGTGAAGGATGTTGGTGAGTTTCCTGGAAGTTGTTTAGATGTAGAGCTTTACTTTATGTTTTCCCCATATGAGAGGTGTGTTTTTTAATGTTTAGAAGTTGGATGTTCCATCTTAGGTTGTAATATGTTGCGTTTTGATGAAATATATAGATGTAGTTCACAAGGTTGTCAGAAAGAAAAAACAAAAATTAGGGGTATACAAAGGAGAAACCACTGAAAATGTTGCCTCTGTACTCTTTATATGAAGAGCTACCTTCAGGTAATTATGCTCCACTCTTTGAGAAGAGTGGAAAATGGGAGGGAAAGCATTCCGACAACATTCTCATTTTTACCCATAAGGATTGCGTACCTCGCTCTAAGGTGGCAGCATTTGATATGGGTATGGATTTATTCCGTTATTTCCTACTTTCGTCAACGAATATCACCACTTCGATTTGTCCTTTACAGATGGGACATTGATAACAACAAAGTCCGGAAAGGTATTTCCGGTGGATAACTCAGATTGGAGAATTATCTACAATCAAGTTGGTCCTCGTCTGAAGAGACTTCATGACGAGGAAGACTTTAAGATTGTCATCTTTACCAACCAAAAAGGCATTCAGGTATTAAAAGTTACTGTCAACGAAATGCATCTCGTTCCAAATGGTTCGAAATTACTGAATATTTTACAAGCGTAACTGGGTTCTGTTTGTATTTTAATAGGGAACTCGAAATGTCGTGTCCGTGATAAATACCTTGACAGCTTCTCGTGTTCAGTCTTCTATATGATCAGAAAGTGCTCTGTTGGTTTGCCCAAAATATTCACCAGCGCACATCTCGAAAAAAATTAGATATAGCCATAATGATGCTGAGATATTTGCAAAACTCCGGAGCGCTGGTGTTTGCGGAGGGGAACAAACACGCTATTGTCCTGGTTGTCAGTTAACTAAGAGATCCATTAAAACGTTGCAGTGTTTTTATAAACTTATTCGCTTCCTTGAGGAGTTTTTAAGAAGCTTTCAATACGTTTTAGTTCACATTGGCTAAACTTTCGGCGGACTTTCTTCAAGGCTTGGAAAATAGCTTTATAGCCTGAATGGGGTATGAGAGTCTGTAATGATGGATAGAACTAGCTGAGAGACAGGTGAAACGAACCGCATAGTGTGGTGGTGAACGCGTTATTCCCCGAAAAGAACAATAGCGCGTTCGTTCCCCACTCCAGACACCTGCTGTTCGGAGTTTTGCAAATATGTCAGGATTATAGAAGCTATATTTCGCAACGTGCTACCCATCAAGAAGAATGGACAGTAAATGAAAAGGTTAAGATTGTGATTATAACTGTAGCGTCATTTTAACTGGGTTCAAAGCTGATTTGGACCCCCCAGATCAATCCCGTTGACGGGTGATTGCTGACGGCAAAGAAGATCGACAGAACTAGCTGAGAGACAGGCGAAACGAAGGACCCGCGTGGTGTGGCGGTGAATGCGTTACTCCCCGAAAAGGACAGCGCGTTCGTTCCCTTACACAGACACCAGTGCTCCGGAGTTTTGCAAATATCTCAGCATCATTATGGCCATATCTATTTTTTTTCGATATGTGCGCTGGTGAATATTTTGGGCAAACCAATAGAGCACTTTCTGATCATATAGAAGAACACACGCCAAGCTTCGGTAGTTTTATACTTCGATAACGCATTCCACTGGTTGTGTGTATAACAAAGAAGAATGATCGTCTATATTTTTAAATTAAAGCAGCTATTATATAATACTGAGATATTTGCAAAACTCCGGACCACAGGTGTATGCGGTGAGGAACGAACGCGTGCTATTGTCCTTACCAGGGAGTAGCGCACTTCACCGCCACACCATCCGGGTCCTTCGTTTTGCCTGTCTCTCAGATAGTTCTATTGGTCTTTTGCCAACTATTATAAAGCAACTATCTTAGTAAAGGGATCAAGAATTTTGGCTGGTAACACTCTTGAGATGTTTCGGAACAATCTGGAAAGCCAACAAGTAACTAGAAGAACAAATGCATCGCATCGTTACAACATGAGGCTCACACTGCATTTTTTCTATTCTTTTTTTCCTTTTCAAACTGAGCCTAACTTGTTAACATGATTGGTGGTAGTCTCTGAAAAACTAGAGGATGGAAAAACAATGAGTATTTGCAGTAGTTTTCACCATTGCTGAAATCTTAGAATTGTGTTCTTATTGAGGTTATGCAGAAATTCCATCGAGTAACGGTATATTAATTTACCATAGGTATTTAGCACCCCAATCGCTAAAGAATATAAAATTCGCCGAAACGTTAGCCGTTGTGAAACAAAACGTGTTAACGGCTTCATGCTAATTAACTCACGAAAAATAATTCCCAAGAACGCGGTAGCCAAAATGAAAGTTGAGTAAGTGAGTTTTCGCTAAAAGAAGTACCAGTTTAAGCACTTTAAGGTATAGACGCATCGAATAATCTATCTAGAATTAATCATACAGTACATTAAAAAGAAGGTGTCTATGAAGGATTCCGTCATAAGAACGTTAATTTCCAGTTGGGAAAGGTTGATAAGACCGGGTTCAAGCGCAAAATCGAGGCTGTAATTGCGAAACTAGGAGTACCCGCTCAGGTATCACATAACATTAAATTAAGAATGATTGATATTCCTTCACAAGGTAATCTCACTCTCTGTTTCTTCAGGCGCTTATCGCAATTGGTGACGGTCATTACCGGAAGCCTTGTACGGGCATGTGGAGAGAGCTCGAAGAAGCGAATGGTGATATTTTCATAGATGTAAGCAAATCAATGTACATTGGAGACGCAGCAGGAAGACACAAGACGAAGGTATGGCTCCTGTTTTTGAAAATCTTGCTAAAAAATTTTGATGTTCCCTTCTCTTCAGACGTTTCTGATCATGAACTTTCGAATCTGTAATTGCCCTTCGTTTTCGATTATAATAATAGACGATACTTACACTTTGATGGGCTGATGGGTCCACTGCACAGTGTATGTTTGTAGATACGCCCCAAAAAGGACCACTCATGCGCCGATCGTTTTTTTGCGGCTAATGTTGGCTTAACATTTCAAACTCCTGAAGAGTTCTTTCTGGACTACAAAACCCCTGAACCGTGGGGTCCGCCTTCGTTCGATCCTTCTTCGTATATTGACTCGACGAAGCCTCTACTGGATCCTCAAGGTGAGCTTACCTTCTTTCTTTGGGAATGCTTCCACGTGCAGCAACTAAGAAGTTTAATGAAAATAATAACTACTAGTAAAGGATAAAAGGATGAACCTCTCGGCATTGATCAATCCCTTAAGGATGTTCCATGTATTTAACTTCATAGTCGTCGTTGGAGGTGACTGAATGTACATCTGGCCGAAGTGGTGACGCGTCATGGCTGCCCGATGCACTGAGTTAGTGCTGCTATCCTCCCAGACAAGTCTGGTACCAATTTGCCGATCCCGGAAGAATGGAAGGCTTGGTGGGAATAAACACGAAAATAATTGGTTAGGGAGAGAGCTAATTTTGCTCGTTTTTTCCTAGGATCAGTTTTGTTCAGCAAGAATTCATCTTCCGTCCAATTATTGTACGGAATAATTACAACATGTGCTCTGATGAACAGTCGTTACTTTTATGTTTGGTTTTCTGTTATTTGCGGGATAAAATTCATTCGTTGTACGAAGAAGGTGTTTACTCACCTGCTATGTTGATACGTTATCACCAGGATTCTCTTAGTGAGGTCTCCATAATCGGTTAATTTCGAAGCTACCTGGCGCGCTTCAAATGCGTATAGAAGATAAAACACGAAACGAAAAGAAATACTTCATTCCAAATTTTATTTAGGTCTAGCGGATAAAACTCTCGACGGGGATCAATCCCTTAGGGATGCGCCATGTATTCGACTTCATTAAGCGTTTTTTAGATTTAGATGAATTCATTGGATGAACTCGCTGTCTCTGTCGGATTCAAGTCCACTTAATGATACGCGTTTGGGTGTGCACAACTTTACATCAGTTGCATCTTTCACGTCGATTTGGTTAAAAACCTGCAATCCGGCGACTAGGAAATGCATGGGATGTAATGGCAGTGATCCGAAGTCGCCTTGTAACAAATAAGCTCCTCTTCTTTGTTGGGAAAGTTAGGCAAGCTACGAGTAAATTTGCCCGTCTTCCAGAGCCCACTTCGGCCAGTTATCCGTGTGTGTTTCTACCAAAAAGTAGGAACACAGACCTCTAAAAAAGCGTGAGACGATGGTGTAAGATACTCCGAACACTATGAGGCTGCTAGAGCCTCAGGTCCATTCTAGGTTGCATAAATCTGAATGTACTATAGTGACGATCTTTATTAACAAAGCGCACGTACGAACATCTGAATTTTCCCTTGAGAACGTTTTGTTGGAGACTAAGGATAACATGCGGAAACGAGGGAACTTCTTAACGTCGGTTTGATAACGGAGAAAATTTGCTTTGTGGAAAATGCGGTACTTGAGGAGTTCCCGGTGATGATGTCCTCGTAAACGCGAGCTTCGCTTGGTTACTGATGGCACTGTTAGATAGAAAATTAACTGAGAGAAAGGCCAAACGATGGACTTAGGACTTGCATGGTGTGGTGGTGAAAGCGTTAGCTCCCGGAAAGGGCAGTAGCGAGTTCGATCCTCATCGCAAACAGCTGCTGTCCGGAGTTTTGCAAATATCTCAGTACTGTTGTGATTATATTCGGGCTAACTAGCCATATATATATACATATATATATATATATATATATATTTGTATATGTATATATATGTGCATATATCTGCTTGGATACTTGGATGGCCGTCTTCACTAGTTGTGCGGGTCCCAATTTAATCTCCATTTTTTTCGGAGTTTTGCCAGTTTACTCATTGTGGTTCTGTGTAGTCCCGAGATTGGCCTAACCTAGGTCCGCCCCAGCTCCTCACTACCACAAGCAGTCGTGTGGCACTTCTGGATCACAGGGAGATTTTCGACCATGCGACTAGTTCGACACCAGAATGATGGTGGATGGTGGTATTTGTTTAATTTTTGCTGGACTTACTGATGGAAACGCCGGACTCCTCAGCTTAGGAGACATGCTGGAGGGATGAATCCTCCCGCTGTACATCGCATACCGACAGCCAGGAACACCTCCGAGCCACGATGATGCAGTGAACCGATGGGAGGATTTATATATATATATATATATATATATATATATGTACATATATATAATATATATATATAACACATGTATATTTGGTTGGAAGTGTCATCATTAAGACCAGCTTAATTTTGGGACCGAATGAGGGGCGAGGAAATACGGAATTCCGCAGTTCCTTGCCCATTGCGCACCTTTTCGACTCTGCAGTCTTCCATCCTGGACATATCCGTATGAGTGTTCGACTTTGAAAGGAATGAAAGAGAGGTGGAGCAGGTAGATTTATCTAAATCGCTGTCGAAAAGGCGGCACATTTTTTATCACCGACCAGAGCTTTGGTTACATCGTTGGCAAAAAACACTGACAACCTGTGTGAAATGAGGTCCCAATATGACAAGATCACCAATTTACAAGAACAGGCCTACTTGTAGTGACGACTGGAGAATGCTTAGGCGGGATATGTGTGTAGTTGAGGGAAAAACAAAATTTTTTGAATAGTAATAAGAGGTTTTTGTTTAATACCATGTTGCAGATACGCCTTTTCCATCATCAGCTCAAGAGTTGATTGTAATTGTCGGTTTTCCCGGGTCAGGGAAGTCTACATTTGCAAAGAAACTTGAGAAGGATCATGGGTATGTGGTCGTGAATCGTGATACTCTCGGAACGTGGCAAAAATGTTGCGAGCACACTAGGGCTTATCTCAGAGGCGGCAAGAGTGTGGTGATAGACAACACGAATCCGAATAAAGAAGCCAGGTGAAGGTTATCACAATTCTTAAAAAGTCTGGTACACTTGTAGTTTATTTGAGACTAATCATTTAAGAGATAAAAGGGTAAAGCTCTCGGTGTTGATCAATCCCTGAGAATTGAGTCGTGCATTCGACTTTATTAAGTATCGTTCGAGGTGTTTGAATGCATATCTGGCCTTTAAAATGATTCGCGGTGGTCTACCGATGTGTCGAGCCAGTTCTGCTATCCTCCCACATAAGTCTGGTACCAATTTGCCGATTCCGGAGGAATGGAAGGCTTGGTGGGCCATGGGCGCGGGGATCGCTTCCACGTGTGTATCGCAGTGGCTCCTTCAACCACTGCACCACCACGCACCCTATTTAAGAGATAATATTATTAAAACTACATTTTATGGTGTGGTAATATTGAAATCAAATTGTTTGTGGAGAACGTTTATTACATCACCTGTATCACCTGTACTCCCGTTGATCATCGAGTGACTCGAGCGGGCGCCAGTAAATCTTCCATATTTCCCTATCGCGTGCAAGAGTAGCCCAGTGTCTTCTGTTCACTCTACGGATTCATCGAGCATCATATCTTTCTTCGACTCTTCGTGAAGAACTTTGACCGTCGTGTCGGTGCTCTTCCTGCAGTACTTTTGACATCCCGAGAAATTCAGCCACCAAAGGTTCTTGCCCGTTGGTTGTCGTTCATACGCATTACGTGTCCGGGCCATCTTATCTTCCTTCGACTGTTTGACACACAGAACGGCATCTTTGATTTTTGATCGTTGACGCAGGTTGGAGCTTCGGATTCCATCCCTTAATTGTGTGAAACGGGGTACTCCTAGCATCGTCCTTCCGACCGCGCATTCGATGACGCTGAGTGACCTTTCATCCTGCTTACATAGCAACCAAGTTTCGGACGCATACATTAGGGCAGGAAGTACTGTTGAGTCGAAAGGGTGGGTGCGAAGTCGGGTGTTCTTTGTTCTCTTCACTACATCCTCGATGCTCTTAAAAGCTCCCAAGCCGCTTGTTTTCTTCTGCACAGCTCTGGAGCTAAGTTGCTCATCATATTGATTTCCCGACCTAGATAGACGTAACTGGAGTATTCGGAGATATTCGTTTCGTTGAGCGTGAATAGGTCATACGAAACCAGTCCGTTCTTCATGAATATCGTTTTTTCGTTTTTGCGAGATTTAGTCGAAGACCAATCTTTCCACAGGCTTTATGAAAGGCGGAAAGCATACGTTCCACTTGGTAAATGTTTGGTATTATAAGGACGATGTCATCAGCAAAGCGAAGATGGTGTAACTGCCGACCATCGATTTTCACTCCAATGTTATCCTACCCCAATGTTCGCATGGCGTTCTGGAGGGCGGTGGTAAATAATTTCCGCGGGGTGGCATCGCCTTGCCTAACTCCTCTTTTGACTTCGATGTTAATATCGTTGTAGAATGGTGATATCTTGGTTGTGAAATTTTTCTACAACTCACGAAGAATCTTTATGTACTGAGTAAGCACTCCTTGAATGTCAAATGCTTCCACGACTGCTACTATCTCAATTAAATCAAAGGCCCTTTGTAAATCGATGAAGGTGAGACAGAACGGTCTTTTGTACCCTCGCGATACTTCCGTGAGCCGTGTTACCGTGCGGATGTGGTCCATCGCACTAAATCCTCTTCGAAACCCTGCTTGCTCACATGGCTGTCGTTCGTTTAGTGGATTTAGTGTCAATCCTGTTTAGGATGACTCGAGTGAAAAGTTTGTAGACGACAGGCAGTAAGCAGGTTGGGCGATAGTTGCCGATGTCGTGCAGGTCATTCTTGTTGAACAATAATACGGTCGCACTGGTCTTCCACTGATTAAGGACCTTGCATTCAGACAGGTAACGTGTGAGGAGCCGAGCCAGTGTTTACGAGGACTAGCGGAAGGTCCTTTAGGTGTTCTGGTCTTACCCTGTCCGGATCTGGTGATGCTCGATTTTTCACCGACGAAATGGCATGTTGGGTTTCGGAAGGGAGAACCAGTGGTGCAACATATTCATCCTCCTTTATTTAATCTGATGGAAGGTGGACGTGGCTATCGAATAGTTCTGAGTAGTGTTCGCGAATAATTTTCTCCATTGCCTTTCTGGACGCTGTAACTATTCCATCTGAGGCGTAGGAGCGCCAATCATTCTGGTCTTGTAAATGGCGAAGCTTCGGTAGACTTTGAGAACGATTTTTCCAGGCTCTGCATCTTCGACCATAGCTGCAGCTGTTCTCTCTTTAGGATATTCTTTTATCGCCTATCTGCATTGTTTTGCAAGTTTGGGCATTAGTTCGCGGTTGCCTGCAGCGATTCATGCTGGCGTATCAGCTCGACTGTTTCTGGAGACAGACGTCTCTTGGTGACTTTCGAACTCTCAGCTTTCATAGCGCTAACGTGAAGATATTTAATGAGCCGATCGTATTCTTCGTCGATGTTATCGACAACGGCATCTTCCCGACAGCTGACCAATGAATTGAATAAGTCTCAGTTTATAGTGGTTTTGGGACTTCGTTTTTTGAATTTAGCGGCTTTTTTGCCTTTTCGCGAGAAATGAAATCCTGCTCGAGGAAGGAGACGGTCTGGTCCAGTGTGGAATTTGTGGCCAACAGCGATATCGGTGGGGCAGAATCTTCGATTTACTATGATGTGGTCTGTTTCGTTGTACTCCACAAGGAGACTTTCACCCCCAGCGTTGATGGTTTGGTTTTTGGAATTGTAAGTTATCGTGAACGGTATTGGTCGTCGTGATAAAGTTAGCCGCTCACCGTGTTCGTTCCATTCTATTCCGTGGGCCCCAATGTGACGTTCTTCAGACGTTGTTGCTGGTCCAACCTTAGCGTTGAAATCTCCAATGATGATCTTGAAGAATGTGTGTTCTTCTCTGTAGAACTTCTCCAAGTCCATATAGAGCGCTTCGACTTCTTCTTCGTCATACTTTGATGTCGGCTCGTATACGACAAAGATTGTCAAGGCTGGTATTGGTCCACAACTGTTCAGTAGTACACGTCTGGTTCGTCTTGTTAGTTATTCGAGTAAGTAGATGTTCATGCACAAACTCATGTTGACAACAACGTGGACTCCGCCGACTCCTCTACTGTCGGGTGTTCGAAGGAAGAGTTCTTCTCCCGTGTCATAGACGGCGTTCAGTGGGTGGTGACTTCTCGCCTCGGCCATGCCGATGACGTCACATCTTATCCTTTTGTTTGCATTATCAAGTCTTCTAGTGAGGACTCATGCATGTTTGCGTGCATAGAAAGTACAGATGATCACCTTAGTTCTTTATGATATAGGCACCTTAGAATGGTTCTGAGATTTAGCAACTTCTCCGTACGCGTCCTACCCAACGCTATGAAATTGCGGCTCTTTCGTGGTTAGAGGAATGAGGCCCGTTTCTTTTCCTGTGTTTTGCTTTTTGATACCCACGTATAGGTTGTTGAGCTTTGAACGTAGGAGCTGGGTATACTCACGGGTAGCTTCTCAGTCTCTCCCACAGTGGATATGGAGTTTATTTATTGGAGGCCAGGTCACTCCTCACCGCGGCCCTATATATTTCACTTGATTGCCAGCTTTTGGCCGAATTGGCTCATAGAATACAACATGCATAAGCGAGATCGCATCCACACACGCATGCATGAATACGTCTGGTAAATACAGAAAGTATATGGCAAACCGGCGCAGCAGAAACAGGGATCCCCTGGGTCCATCTTCGTCTCAGGGAAGCAACGGTCGCTTTTGGTCCACGATTAACCCACCCCTATCCGCCACCTGGGGTCGCTCCACGTAGCCTCGCGACTAACCGGCTCGAGATCCCTGAGTGAGATCCGTGGGCTTACTACACAGCGCTGTCAAATCTTCATTCTTGACTAGAGTAATTTCAACACTGTCATAATTGTGTTCCTTGCTTCATATTAGCGGAAAAGATTTTGCTTATTTACTATGTTTCCGTGATTTAAGTAAATCTTTTGATTTAGAAGTCGGTACATCGCTCTAGCACGTGAGATGAAGGCGCCATGTCGTTGTTTTGAATTAACATGCAACATTCATCATGCTGGACACAACGTGAAGTTCCGTCAGTTAACACAGAAAGTATCCAACGAAGTTAGCACTATGGTGTTACGTATGTACGCGAGCAAATACGAGGTAAAACTAGTCCGTTAAGTAGTACTGTTTTTTTTTAAAGCGCTTGTACCGCACCGATGAAAGTGTATTCCCGAGCGTTGGACCCAACTAGCGATCGATCCAGTCCCTAGCAATACACTGGATCAATCATTGGATAGGTCCTACGCATGAGTCTCGCCACATCTATCCCTTTGGGGTTCACAAATAGATACGAGTTATATAGGGAGTTCGCAAAAGATTGATTCTTCGGTAGGCCACAGCAAGTCAGTGTATAACCCGAATATGCGTTCAACCTGCTCTGCGATGATTTTTGAAGTCCGCTGCACTCTGCATTTCTCGGGGAATGATCAACTCCAAAAGCTTCATTTTTTTGTCCTTTTTGCTGTTTTTTTTTCAATAAAACTCGGGTCAAGTAATTGTTTACAGACAGTTCTAATAGTTTCTACATTTACAAAAGCCCAGCTAAGAGTAAAACAATACCAGGAATCAACACCGTCGTGAAAACAATCCTCCATTGCAGGAGGCCAGAGTGTCGAAGCTTTAGTCGAACAATAATTTTATAACGACCTTCTGTTACTACTAAACAGCACAAAAAGTTTAACGTTTTGTTTTCTGCCTTCTATAATTTTCATGGCAGGTTACTAAGCGAAATACAACCACAACGTTGCTGAGATATTTGCAAAACTCTGGACCGCAGGTG